ACTCAGCAAAGGCTGATAAACTAGGTCAAGGTACAAATCATAGATGAATCAATGAATGCCTTGGGGGCTGAATAGCTTCCTTCTCTTCCTATTTACAGAAACATAGATGCAAATTAAAAACAGTGTAATAAAATCTCCCGAACAAATGATGAAAATATTGTCAGCGAAAAAAATAATAATTCTAGAATGCATTTTGGGTGAACTTCTTTCACTTTTATTATTTTTAAATAAACACATCCACTTAGATGCCGCACAGCGACACAATCCTGAAGTTCAGACACAACAAAGCTTTGACTGTGTTCATATACTGAAGCAATGATTCTCAGATCCATTATTCTACCAATGCATGAAAGGAACATCAACATAAGACATGATTATCCAAGTAACAGTGAAGTTAGAAAGTTGTCCCCCTAATTTGTTTACTCTCACAGTCAGTTGAAATTTTTACATGAAGACTCAGTACAATTTTCTAAAATAAATTGATTAAAATTACAAGGGTAAAATTTGCAGAGTTGTGAGCAGGGAGACAGGACTAACTGAATACTCCATTCAAAGCTAAGTACATTGGGCCAAATGATCCCCCTGTTGCACTGTATCATTCTGCGCATCTCCCGTCTTCCACTCTCACTGCTGCGATGTGTAATGGACAATAGATTTAAATTGGAAACAAATTCCTCCAAAAATTATTGCTCCTTTAAACCTCCAACTGCGCAATAATTAAAAACAAAATCAAAGGGAAAAGTACGTCACCAAATTAAATAATCTGAATAGGCTAAAATTTAAACAGAAAACTCATCAACTTGGGGCCCTTCTCACTTTGCAGAGTAGCCTATTCATGCACCTTGCACAAACACTGCAAGGAGAGACTTCCAACAGTTGCTCTGCCGCCTCTGGTCTTCGCTCCCACCAGCTGGCCGTGGAATTGTTACCTGCATGTCCGAACTCTACCACCAGCTCAGTCAGAGTCACCTCCATCGCTGCCTTCATCCAAATCTTCCGTCACGTTCTGAAAGCAGAGAAGGGCAGGGAATGTTTTGCAAGTCATCTCCGAAACATATAAAAGTTATGGAAAATAGTTTCCATTTTTAAAAACCATCAGAGCATACAAAATAGGAGCAGGAGTAGGCCGTGTGGTCCCTCAAATCTGCTCTGCCATTCAATAGGATCATGGCTGATCTGACATTTCTCACGTTCACTTTCCTGCTCTTTCCCCGTGACCCTTGATTCCCTGATCGATCAAGAATCTATCTATCTCAGCCTTAACTATACACATGGACTCTGACCCCACAACTCTCTGTGGCAAGGAATTCCAAAGACACTCAGAGAAGAAATTCCTCCTCATCTCAGTCTTCAATTGGTGTCCTTTTATTTTGAGACTGTACCCTCTGGTCCTGGACTCTCTCACGAGGGGAAACATTTTCTCAGCATTTACCATCAAGCCCCTTAAGAATCTAATATATTTTAATGAGATCACCTCTCATTCTTCTAAACTCCAGTGAGTAGAGTCCCAACCTGTTTAGTCTTTGCTCTTATGACAATCCCTCCATACTGGCCATCACCCTAGTGAACCTTCTCTCAACTGCCCCCAATGAAATTATGTCTTTCCTTAAATAAAGGGACCATTATTCATAATGAGAAAACAAAACATTTTCAGTTTAATATCTGAATGCGTTAATTTTAATAGTTACAGGTTGGATGATGAGGGGCCGTTTCCCCCTTATGGGCAAGACTCGAACAATTTAAAATAGTGGGTCTCTCATTTAAGATACAGATGAGGAGAGGAAAAAAAATAGAGGTCGTGGCCAGCATTCCCTCCAATTTATTTTTTTTCCTTGGCTGTGCATGCCTCCGAGGTCCATCTGCAATAGAGACTTCTGGAATCTACCGATCACTGACTCCGATCATAGTACACAGAACCTTGGCACGCACACAGCTGGTCTGTCTGTGGAACCTTCTTACCCAGGCAGCAGTGGAGGTGGGATATTGAAAATGTTTGAAGTAGAGTTTGACAGATTCTTGAGGGAGCCAAAGGGTATCATGGGGTTCGACAGGGACTGACGTATCAAAAGCTGGAGCATATTCAAAAACCTAGAATAGACTACTCCTGCTCCACCTCTTGTGTGTTTGCCCTCGCAGTTAGAGTAGAATGCACTCCAACAACTCACCAAGGTCATGTCAACATAACAGAATCTCCCTCCACACTGTCACCAAGAAGGGCAAGAGAAACAGGCACACTGGAACACCATCACCTCAATTCACAATTGCCATCCCAAACCAAACACAAACTGGCCATTTCTTCAGCATCACCTGATTAACATCTTGTGATTCTCTACCCAATGCTGTGGGAGTACCTTCGCCACACGGGTACACCATGTTTTGAGAGGACATCACCTTCTTCTCAAAGCACAGCTTGCAGACGAGCAATTAATACCAGCCAACATCCCAAAAATGAATAAGGAGATTCCAAAGAGTACAACATCTATCCTTCACCTGGCGAGTCAATTCTGTAAAAGTTGACTTAAGGAAAGTGAAATTATTTTTAAAGTTTTGGCAAAGCTACCCACCTTTAACACCTGTCACAATCAAACGTTTTTTTGATTTTTATTTTACAAAATGTCAGAAGTAGCAATCAAACCTAGAGAAGAAAATATATTGTGCTGATATCAGAAAAAGCCTTTATACATATAGCGCTGGGAGCAGAGAAGGCGAACACTCAAGATGGACTGCAGCGGTTCAAAAAGGCAGCTCACCACCACCTTCATGGGTAAATAGGGATGGCCAAATGTGCTGGCCCAGCTAGCAATGCCCAAGTCCCATGAGTGAATGAAATAAAAGCTTTAATATTGTTCAAAAACAAGTCAGATACTCTTGTATCTGACATTCACCCAAATTAGTATCACTGTTTCTTCATCAGATTTTGCCAAGTTTGTGACACAAGGCTCTAAACTCGCACCAGACAATCACAAATTGAAAGGGCGAGATGAAAATAAATTGCTCTTCAGAGTAATTTTCATTTGCATTCACACGGACGTTTTTTGAAAACAAAGCTTCCTGCCCAATACCAACAAATTTACAGCAACTGAGGATCATTCACTCTTCTTGAAGGACTGCCGTAGATCTGAACATTTAAACATCAGTTGCTCGATAACCCCGAGAGCCCATTGTCTTCAGGTCCCTGTCT